TGAAAAAAGGGATCACAGTCGATGTGCTAAGACGCGACAACGCTGCAGCACTTGTCAATGGAAACATCCAACCAGAGTTAAATCTACGTCTTGAACGAACTGGAATGACAGACGTCTCTGACTCCGTTATTTCGAAGTCTTTTCAATCCATCAAAGGCCTTCCAGGGACCGGAGAAGCAATAGAACAAAAAAAGCTGACTCAACAGAACTTCATTTCGCAAAAGAAATTGGGTCAAAACAGAGGAAGGCTAAAGGCGAGGAAGATAGGTGATAAAATTGCTTCTAGTATCGGCGTCGGTGTGGAGAGTGCTACAACTGCTTTCACTCTTGCTCAAGGAGGAATAGATACAGTAGCTGGAGCTGATATGATCACTAGAGCACGCGAACTAAGAGCAAGAGATCAGATCACCGACAGTGAATATAACGACATGTTGAGAAATGGTAATCTGAGGGTGGCTCAAGGAAGCTTTGGACTTGCAGGTGGAATGAAAAATGTTATGACATTCGCAGGGAAACGAATTGAAGCAAAGATTATAGCTGAAGTAGGAGAAAAAGAAGCGGAAAGATTGCTTGGGGGAATTAAACGATTCGGATCTGTGGTTGGTAGTGCGATTTCGATTGGAACAAGTATTACATCGATGGCAAAGAATGCAATTGCTGCTAGTGACGCTGCAAAAAATGGTCAAAAAGGTAAAGCCATCGTGTATGGTGTAATGGCAGCCATTGATGGGGTCACAGCCATTCTAGACGGAGCAAGCTTGGTATTAGATGTTGTATTCCCACCGCTATCCGCCATTATAGACGTTGCTAGCACTATCTTACAGGTCTTTAATACCATTCTCGGCTTCATTGCTGATYTGGTCGATTTTCGAACAGAGGCAGAAAAAGTGAAAGAAGAGTTCGAAACGTACATCRCGTCTGATGCATTTAAACAATATGTGGACAACATGGCCGATTCATACAAGAAAAGAAACTTTGATATCTTTTTTTATTACGTGGATGCAGAGGTCGCTGGTAKCMMAGCTRAMCCGGAAACACTGCGAGMTGAAAAAAAGAAAATCACCAAATGCCTCAGTGAGAGGGCTGAGCAGGATTTCGAAAACCAAGAACTTCGAATAGCCATAATAGATGCAACAAAACTTGGCAAAAAGTTGGAAGGAAGATTTAATGACGACGAGATTCTGGCGGGGTTTGGYCCAGATGAARTWTATGGCAAAGAGGGTGATGACATCTTGTTTGGACGAGGCGGTGATGATTCSATATTTGGTGGTCCTGGACATGACTATCTTAATGGCGGAACAGGGCGAGACGTTCTTTTGGGTGGAGAAGGCGATGACGTCATCGATTGCGAACCCGGTGTTGACACAAGATGCGAAGGCCAGCAAGGACGAGACATTTTAGAAATATCTGGGCCTGCTTTGGTTTATGAAGAATTTTTCGATCGCAAGTGCTTCATTATGGGACCAGAATGGGAAACAGACAGAGAACCTCCGAGGACATCTCCAGTGAAAGGAATTTATCTCAACATTGGAGGACAAAATGGTATTAGCCTGGGGTCCGCTTTCCAAGGATGGCCGGGTGGTTTTAGTGACATTCACAAGCCTGCATTCGATAATTCGRAMACTTCGGAAACTTGTAATTTGCGGGAAAAATTTATCGGTTTTTTTAATAGCAGGGGAACTCAATTTGTAGACAATGTAGACGAACTGAAAGATAAAGTATTATGGTATATGGCYRAAAGTGGCAAYRMGAAGTAYTTCTGTGATGGAGCATCTTTTTATAAAGTCACTTCTCAAACCTCTCAGATTCAAGTCGCAAGAAATGCAATAAATTCTATCATGAAAAGCTACGCTGAACTAGACACAAACGGTCGTTTAAAGGCAAAACTGGGAAACAGAGAAGTAGAAGCTCTTTTGGCGTTCGCCTTCCGCAAGAGTTTTACTTTTGATAAATTTGTAAGATTTTCAGSTGCCCAGCCAGATAATTTGGAGGTCTTATCCAACTATATTCCAACAACCTTCATTGGTAACAACGAAGACAATGTAATCGATGTATCGTTTGGTCTTGGAGACATGGTGTTCACTGGTGAAGGGAACAATGTTGTTTCCGTCGGTTCCACTATTAATRAWTACTGGAATACCGAAGCAGAYATTACACCAGGATCTMAACACAATGGTTTTCATAAATGGGCAAAGTACGTTGTTGGCGGAAGTGGAGAAGACACGCTGATTATCCAGTACATGCCTCCACCAGGAACAAGTACTGGAAATGRCTATTATGGTCAATGGATGCTGAGAGATAYAAACAGCACTTCCGTATCTGAAACCGAAATTAACCAAAACCATGTCGTTTTCTTGAAAAACATAGACACCGTTGAAGTACACGCTCCTCCAATTGCAAATAAYGASGAAAAACGTATCAGGATAGATGCTCAGCACTATGATGGAGCAACCAGGTAYATTCTCGATAAAGCCACGTTTTTCTACGGTCCTACCTCAACTGAACGAGGTRTCATGGTACTGCCAAGGTCACTACAAGGCACCAATACCATCGAGTTTGGCAAAAACACAAAGAGTACCATATCTTTTAAATATTACAAAGATGAAACAMWGATGATTGACACKATCAATATACATCAAGAATCTGAACACGACGATGGCAGGGTAACTTTAAAGCCGCGTGGTCATGATGTGCGGCTAAAAAACGTTATGAACGTTGTCAGTTTCTCATCTTGTAAGACAATAACTGGAAGCAAAGAACCAAATATGATCATTGCCGAGGGAGGAGAAACAACTATCRATGCGGGAGAAGGAGATGACACTCTAGTAAGTGCTCGTGGAGTGCATACATTGAAAGGTGGAGAAGGTGCTGATACCTTCGTAATTCAAGGCCCTGTTGTAGWGGACTATTTAACAATCTCCGTCAATATGGGAAAAGATGGAACAACTATCCGTTGTTCAACCACCATTTATGGAGCATGGAATGCCGCACAGAAAAAACTAGAAATCGACGTACTTAGAAATGATCACGTAAATGTGCTCTTAACAGAGGTGGAAATAATTCCGGGAGAAGGTGASGAAACGAGSAATTTGGGAACGATCACCAAAGATAGAACAAACAGGAAGCTGATATACTCACCTGGATCGAATTTTAACGATTTACATAGGAACACAGCTAAAGTAGTCCGAATWAAATTCACAACAAAAGGAAGCGTGGTAACGATTGATGAAAAAGACTATGGAAACAAAATACGAATTGACTCGGTAGCAAGTCTTAAGGATATGACAGTAACTATTGTATCACATAAACTTGTATTCCAAAACAAGGCAAACCCTCCACAAACTATTTTCATTGACGAAGAATGGGGCAGAAAGCTCATCAATGGAGTCTCTACTAATTTGCTTGATCTAATTTTGGACTTTGCCTATCGTTTCCCCGTAATGCTCTTTAAGACAAGCAATCAGGAATTCACTCGGGTTGATGCGCATTCTATAATGGATTTCCTCTATAAAAGTTTAAGAGTTCGTGAAAGTAGGATTCGTGAAGATTTCGACACGATTTTGGATTCTACAGATTTTCCTTCTAGTTTTTTCGCAGAAATTGATGTTGGAAATGGTGCAAATATTGTCCTAGCTAAAACAAAAGGTTTTACTTACACACTTGGCCCAAAATCGTCTGGAAGCATCATTTTTGCCAATGAACCATTCACAAATGGTCGAGGAAATATCATTGTTCGAGGTGGCGATGATTGTAGGCAAAAGTGCCACAATGTGGTAGTTGTTGGGGTTGGATCTAATGGAGTGGTGGAAATTGCTTTGGGTAAACATGATGTAATTGTTACTGGTGCCCAACTGAACAACGTACAGTTTGCACAGTGCAGCGGAAATCTATGCTTGAAGGCCGAAGGAAAAACATTGATTAACAAATGGACTCAAGACAATTGCATGCACCTTCACTTCAAGAAATTAGGAAAAACTCAGATCCTGGTGAATTGCAAAGACTTCCTGCAAGATAAGATCTTTGGAGAACGCAACGAGTATCCCATACTAGTCTCTTATGGTTCTGATGATCGGAAGCTCAAGCTTGAGCTACCATTCAGTAAACAAGATGCGAGAATCGATTTCTACTATAACCGTGGACGCCATTCACTTTGGATCTTCTTCAAACACCRAAGTGCAAAGAATGATGGTTTTTGGCGTCAACCTTACTTGGTTATTGAGGCCGGAAAGTCAAAGCCAAGTTCATTAGACGCACGTAAGTTGGTGAATGCCATTACCACAAGGTTCAAGGCTGGCATAAAGCTTAGAGGTTATGAGGCGAAGACAGATGTCGATATGTGCACATTTGTAAAGGAATTGATAGCAAACGTCTCAAGTCGTCAATGGCAAATCGTCAATGGTGACCTGGATTGCCAAGCTCTCTTCCAAGGCAAAAAAGTGTGACGCTCTACACGAACATGGATAACCAAAAAGAGGAAAAATTATTGATTTAAAAATATACAATAAACTGATAAAATTGCATGAAAACTCTAAGCCATAAGGAGTGATATTCGTGGACAGAAATTAAATTGTACGACAAAAATGTTTCTGGAGAACAGAATCTATTGAGAAGAAAGTGATCACATCATCCTCTAAAGACAACTTAATCAATAGGTATTGAATAATATGATAATACTGCTACCAAAGRGAAAAAAAGGAACGCCGGTATAGTTGCATGGTGATAACATATAAAATCCTGATTTTAAAGAAAATGAGCGCAAATAAACTTTCAGTTAAACTGATAATTTATGACATTGTTTATTCAGCCTTTGATCCATAGTCGAATTGAATTCTCAAAATTCTCCCTGAAWGTCCTCCGAGATTCTCGCAATATAGTGAATAATATAAAGCGCATTTCAAAGGCGTACGAAGAAACGGATTTCATCTTCGAGTGTAAGCGCATCGGGAAGATAAAATTCGTCTCTCAAGGTGAAAGGCATACTGGAAAATTACTACACTAAAGTACATATAATATATATTTAATGCTATAAATAACGCTCTTAACAAATGTTGACGAAATGTTGACGAGTACAAAACTTTCGGAGCGAAATGAATTATCATCTTTCCTTTAAGCGTTATTTGTCTTCTGATCAATCTCTTCTTTGGAAGGTTCAAAGTCAATTGTCACATCGTCTCCAATAAGGAAAAAAGCAGCCCAGAACTTCGGCTCGTTAAATATGGTGTCGTCTCGCATGTATCGCATTGTTTCTTGTAGACTTAAGCAGGCACTTTTACCTTGTTTCAATAACCWGTAAAAGTGCTTCATAAAAACCAATGTGGCTGTGTCTTCACAGGCCCACAGAGATCCTACTACTGCACGAGCTCCTGACGCTAGAAACGCTCGACACATACCGACAACGCCCTCTGCCTTGATCTCTCCACGCCCACTATGACAACATCCCAAAACTACTAACTTGGCACGAACTTGGGCCTTYTGGACGTCTGCCATGGTTAGCATGTAGTCTTCTTCATCAGGAGTTTTTACTGATCTCACTTCAGCAGTAGGTGCCAGAGCTATTGAAGCTTTTGACAGGATACCGTGTGCAGCAATGTGGACAACAGACACGCCTTGCTTCAGCTTCTCGATCACAGCTTCTTTCGTTGCTCCATCACCAATTAACGGATGAACTCCAAGTACATTGGCGATTTCATTGGCCTCTATTCGTGCCCCTTCAAGAGGWGTAATGAATMTTTCTCGACCGTTCAACATGACTTGTCCAACGGTGGGGTCACCAATAATCAATGCGCCTGTTTTATAATAAAAATCGTCTGGACYTTGTTTCACTAAAGCAAGTGATTGAATTGAAGGAGCAAATCGGATGCGTTTAGTTTCTGATAAGTAGCGTCCCGTTTCGGGGTCCTGGAGTGCTGCAAAAGGTACAGCATTTATAGGGCCATCGGGAATGATGACAATTTCATCGTGTTCCATTAGACCCTGTTTCTTGATGAGCATTTTGAAGAGCGTTTGTAATATATTTGTGCATCCATCTTCATCTTCCCATGGATCATCGTATATGTTTCTGGTGAACACTACACYAGAACATATGGGCAGTTGTTCGCTGCTCGTCAAGTCTTGCATTTGATTGCTTTCTGGAGTGGTTTCCATAATTCCTTAAAAGAAAAGTTGAAACATTAGTATAAATGAAAGGGATTATCAGTAGCTAAACACTTGCCACCACTATTACCTAAACAAACTACTTCACAATGTTTACTTCACATGTTTTAGCATTCAGCTCGCACGACGGAAACCAAGGGCGGATTCAGAAATTTTGAGGGGGGGAGGTTGCATGCATAAATTTTGTGTTCGTCTATCTAAATTATGGAGGTCATATGCGTGAAACTTTATTGTAACATTACTTTCCCAATAACAATAATACTCCGACGAAGGATTAACGTCCACAACGTCAGTAATTTATTTCACCCACTTTTTTACGGTGTTATCAATGTCAGTACCTTTTCGCAAACCTTTTCCCTAGAGCTTTTTTACTCAGTGTCAAACCTTGTAAAAATTAGTACAGCTTCCTTATATCCAAAAACATTCAAGTTTTATTTATTAATAGTTCCAGCGCTATATAAATCAGTGGACGCCAGTGATAATAATCAGTCGGTTCTGTAGTTATAGCGATGTCACTGAGGGAAACAGCAGGGTGTTTGCAAAACAGTTTTACGACAAAGAAAATAAGTGAAGTTATTAAAAAGTATACAAGGCAAAGTCTCAATTATAATCTTCCTTCAAGTCAAATTGTCAAAGTTATATTCGACCAAACTATAATACAATGGATATAAACATTTTTGTTGCGTTGTCCCGGGGGTAGGGTACATTGCGCAAAAAAAAAACATGTGTAAAAAGGGAATACTGAAGAAACAAATTAATAAATCTCCTTAATCAATCCTTAAACGAGATTTTCAGAGATTATGATCTTGCTCCAATTATATACTGTGAAGTCGCTTCCAAGAATAGCTTGATCTAACTTGTCAAGCTTTTAATATATACAAGTTAAGTCATGCTGGAGCGGTCTAGACACGCTTTCAAGCATGCAACGTATGAAGCCTAAAACCTCCGATATCCAGTTGAAAACCCACCTCGATTAAAAAGTAATATAAAGAGGTCGATTTTTGTTTAAAAGTTTCGCAATTCCACGTTTTAATGGCATTGGAATAAGAACCTTAAACTTCAAACAAAGCACTTTCCTGTTGTCTTTAAGAACAAAGATTGAAAAAAGCGAAAACACGAATAAATCAACTTTGAAAAACAATCAAAGGCAGGAAACAGTGTATATGTACTGGTTGTAGTACAAGTCAGGGCTACATATAGTTTAATCATGTATATATAAAATAACTAGCCGATGAACCATCGAGTAAAATATTGATTGTGATAACTAGAATGTTTACATACCTTGCCAAAATTATCGACGCTACTGTTTAGGGATTATAATCGTTTTAGTCATTATGGTTTAGTTACGTAGTGTTAATCGCATAATAGATCAGATATATTCTAATATGCTTAGCACGAGGATCCATGAGGTTTAGGCCTTAGATGAGAATTCTGTTGGTGTAAATAGTATGGTCGTACAAACAGTTTAGGGGTCGTCTGAAGACTGACATGCGTGACGTCACAAAAGTTGATGTAAGAATCGAATTATTCGGAAGTCATAGCTAATAGAGAAGACTGTATAGCCTTGCTCGTTGCTATTTCCGGTAGGTGTTGCATTAGACAYCTTTTGGCGTTGCACTCACTAGGAATAAAAACTGAAGCTTTTCATATTATGTTAAGACATTCAAGTAGACAGCCTACAAATATCTTGAATGTGATGTGGATATCGACTACTACTTTACATAGATATAGCTGATCCTGTGCACCTGAAAGCCGAACAAAGATTGACCTATATCGTTGTGCTGGGGCATTCGAGTCACTTACAAGTTTATTCTTCTAGTTTCTCGGTTCATCCGGCGGTAAGTATTGAAATGACTCGTGCATCCAGTCTATATTGTGGTTAGAAGCCATTTTTGCATTTTGGAATGTCTGGTCGGGTTTTTTTTTAATACTTTGTCAATTTAATTTACAATTAATGGCAGCAGCAAATAAATGCTACTGTCAAGAACAAGAATATATAGGTATGTACGTATATCAGAGGAGTTTTACAATGTTTGAAAGAATATTATAGGGAAGTACAAAAAAAATATAAATTTTACAAACAAATAACTGTTATTGATTAGGGAGAAAAAATATATCCATTTTATTTACAATTTATAATAGCAGCAGCAAATAAATGCTACTGTCTAGAGCAAATAAAAAAAAACATATGCATATCCATATAAGTTTAACAATGTCTAACATAATATCAATATAAAGGTACAAATCGGAATAATAATCTTACATTGTATCTGGACGGATTCAATGTTGACATATATTGCGCATTTCATTTCCCAGAAGTACTAAAAATCTCGAAAATCTCGGATTCTCTAAACAAAACAGAAAGACAGGAAAGAGGCATTACTGGTATCCCAAGCTACGTGTTTCGGTGTAAATTTCAATAAAAATAAATATCTGTACTTGTGTGTTGTGTTTTTCTTTGCATTACTGAGAAGTTTCAGGCCATTTTCAAATTGAGTGATTGATGGATGTTGTTCTCCAGCTTCCTAGGAGATTTTTCAAGATTTGTCACGATTTTTCGATTTTGTTTTATGTTTTTAAAAATATCATTGTTAATTTAGAGGGAGGGGGAAAGCTTTTTCCCCTCCCCCCTCCCTCACCTAGAGACGCTACGCAGGCTATTTTTAATCTAAAGGTATTATCAATTACAGCATCAAGAGATGGGAAATCTTAACACGACACAAAAACAGAGCAGGCGTGCAAAACATCAAGAAATGGCAAAATGCATTGAATACGCAAACAAATTTCAAATCATTCACAATTACGACGATGCAATCAAATCCATTAAAAGGAGTATCGARCTTGCTAAACAGMTGGGTGATCGACATCACGAAAACCAAGGCCATCAAAGTTTGCTGAAACTGTATCCTAMAATGGGTCGCATAGAAGAAATAGAAGGTCRCCTTMGACTTGGGATTGCTCACCAACGAAATCGCGAATACRACAAAGCTGTTGAGAAATTCCAGAAAAGCATAAAACTGGCAAAACATCTTGGAGATAAGTCTCGTGAAATAAGAGGGTACTCTTGTCTTGTGGATCTATACGAGGAAACAGGTCCGTCATTAATCGATATTATTATTATTATTATCATCATTTATTATTATTTTATTTGAGTAATTATTTAATTGCTTCATGAGCTATAACAGATCGCTGCTCTTCTACWTGCATCAGTACTTTCGGAGAACAATTCGTCCGCCATCTTGAAAAGTGAGACCCGAATCATTATGTTGTGCCTTAGAACACATTTTGTAGTTGCTAAGTCATCTAATCTATCATTTTATCGTACTGATATTAACTTGACATTAGCTGAGAATCTTCTTTTACAATTAAATTTCCTTTACGAGTTATAATTTAGTGATTCTGGTCCCACTTTTCAAGACGGCGGACATTATTGTTCTCTGAAAGTACTAATGCATGTATTTTTATATTAAGTTATATCATCATTGTTAATATAGGCCAGGCAGAGAATTTTCTTGAGAGCAGCAAAAAGGTAGCGGAAGTCAGCTTAGAAATGCTTGGAATCCTCAAGTCCACTGGCAGTCAAAGTACAGATACACTATTTACAAGTGTATTAGAAGGATGCTTTAAACTTGGAAATGTATACTTACAGAGACAGGAATACGAAGAAGCTGTTAACCTTTTCAACATGAGCATTGATTGTTCAAAACACATTGGCGCGAAACCGAGGGAAATGATTGGTTACTTTTCTCTTGGACGGGCTTATAAACATATTCACCAGCACCAAGAAGCCGTTGATAACTTTAAGAAATGTATTGCATTGGCCAAGGAGCTCGGTAGTAAACAAGTAGAGATGCTGACATATGATATTCTCGGTAGTTCTTACGTGGAAATGGAAAACTATGAAGATGCAATCAATTGCTTTGGAAATAATCACATTCATCTTGCTAGAGAACTCGGAGATAGCGAAGGGGAACTATCATCGTATCATAAATTAGCCAACATATACCAACAAATGCATAAGTACAACGATGCTATTCATTACAGGAAAAGAGCTTTAGACAAAGCAATCGAACTCGGTAATAAACCAAATGAAATGCTGGCATATTCTTGTGTCGGCATAACGTTGACCGAAATGCTCAAATTCGACGAAGCTGTTTATTATACCAAGAAGTGTATTGAACTAGCCAAGGAACTGAACAATAAGGAACAAGAAATGACATCAAACCTAATACTTGGCGATGCTCTCATGAATATCGGCCAGTACGATGCTGCTCTTGAATGCACAAAGAGATCGTTCTATTTAATCAAAGAAACTGATGACAAGCGACATGAAGTAATAACATTGAACACTCTTCTTGATATACACCAGAARATGAATCCACAAGAAAGCCTTATGCACTGCATCAACGCGTTGTGCAAGGATTTAGCTGAGGAAAGCCCTTGTAAACACCAAGATATGCTATACACATACTTCGTCATTGGACGCAAGTACTTCAGCAGTGATCAATACCAAACTGCACTCGAATGTTTCAAATCTAGCCTTGATCTCTCTAAYGAAATTAAAGACAGGCAAGAGAAAATGAAAATTCTCGGCTTTCTGAGTGATAYATACGAGAAACTTGGACAACGTGACAATKCAATTGAGAGTACCAGAAAACAAATTGATCTAGCACATGATCTGGTTGAAAAAGAAGTAGAAATGGTCGGATACGGATCTCTTATAGAGAAATTCCAGGAAATGCACCAAAATGATGATGCTGTCGACTGTTGTAAGAAATWCAGTGAATTGGCTCGACAAATTGGAGCCAGAGAACAAGAAATGTTATTGTTCAAGACCCTGGGATGTATATACCAGGAAATGCACCAATATAATGACGCTGTTGAAAGCTACCAGAAAAGCCTGGACATAGCCAAGGAACTGGGTGATAACGAGGAAGTGGTAATGGTGGGTGGTACTTTGGCAAAGTTGTACCTGGAAATGGGAAACCCAGAAGGAGCAGCTTCGACAGTTATAGATTTCTACAATAAAGCAAAAGACTTCATGATTGAATATCATCAAGACGATTCACTCGCTAAAGGAATGCAATCTATATCATCAGGAAGGCATGATGAAGCCATAGTTCTCTTTAAGAAAAGTATCAACCAGGCAATAGAGAGTGGTAACCTGCAAAAAGAACGCACCGCGTACTGCAACCTGCAGGCAATTTACCTGGTACAAGCAAAATATGAAGATGCAATTGCGTGCATGGAAAAGGTAGCTGGTCTTTCAAGGGAACTCGGTGATGAACAACTAGAAATGGAGACCTATCTTCAATTATCTGAAAGGTAATTAATTTTTAATTTCTTTAGAATAAAGTATAWCAACCAGGACAGTGTAAAAATTATTTGCACGAGCTTTCGACCTAACAGAGTATGGTCAGAATAACATCAGTGTACAATGTTACCAAGACAAAAATKCCCGTGTGACCAATAATATAAATGAATAAAAGTAATTTTTATTCATTTTCCAATCAAATCTATTTCTTGTTCAAACGGTTTTCTGGTTCTGACTAATTTTTTTAATTCATTGCTTGATTCTAGCTACGCACAAAATCAACAGCTTGATGAGTCCGTAGCAGTTCTAAACAACTACGTAAGTCTAGCACAACAGAAAAGAAACAYGACAATGGAAATGAAAGGCTATTACCATCTAGGAGAGTTGTATTTGAAGATGAGTAAAGATGYGTTGGCTCACACCAACGTTCGTGAGCTGTTAGATGCCGAGAGAGCGTCCCAAACGCGCCTCATCGATGCGGCAGAAAATGGTCCCATCGAAAAATCTACACGGTCTGATTCCTGCATTGGTTTTGCTTTGAAGTGTCTTGAAATGGCAAAAGACATTGGCAACAGACAGTACGAGATGATGGCGCATTTCACGTTATTTGAAGTATATTTTCATACCACTCAATTTGGCAATGCTTATACTAATGCTACTGAAGGCGCTCATATAGCAAAYGAGCTAAACGACGAGAAAATGAGAAGAAAATTCCAGAAGAGCTTAGRCCAAATCAAGATGTCCATTACTGACGATACTCCARATTTCGACACAGAGAGTGCATCCCAGGTACCTGAAAAAATTAAAAGTTTTTATGAKTTGCTCAAGTTTCCAGAGATAAAGTTAAAAGCTGAACTTCATCTGGATAAAGAAAAGGAATTGGCCAAGCTTTTGGAGTATTATAATTCGTCGAAAGACTACGAAAAATGCATCGAAGTTTTAGAAAAACTCAAAGAATTGTCAACCAGCATCGATAGGAAGGTAAAATATAGCAGTCTCATTGCAGATTTTATTTTTCAAGTAAAAGGAGGTTATGAGGCCTTACAATACTGCGAAAAGGTATTACCTGAAGTCAGACAATCCACCAACGAGGAACAGTTTGACTATTATTCAGGCATTGCCCAATTGTATTATGACAACCTCCAGTTCGAATTAGCAGTGAAGTATTTCCGTGAGGCCATTCAGTGCTTTAACAACATCTACTTATCCCTTGGATACCATGAAAACATGAAAATATCAATTACTGACAAATCTAAGTACATTGCTTGCGTACGCCAATTCTCCCGGCTTCTTTTCATAACTGCACAATATGAGGAGGCTATTTTAGTTCTTGATCAATGCCGTGGACGAGTGCTTCGAGAAACGTTGCTKGAAAACTACAAGATGAGCGMAACAGGCAAAGAACAGCCTTTCCAGTATTCTGATGTYSAGTCTCTTCTTTCAACATGCAAATTTTCTCTATTGTTTTACTGGTTTCAATCCGATTCAGTACTTACATTTGTTGTCAATAAGTTGAAAAAAAAGCTGCCTACTTTTAGCACGATATCATCTGAGCTTCAKCAGAGCATCATATCTGCGTTTGATATTCTAGGGSTTCGCCTGGTCAAATGTGAGGACAGATCATTGGAGAGCGCCTTCAACGACAAAGACATAAACGAGTTCCATAACGATGGASAAGTGAAAAGCCATCAAAGATACATTAATGAGTACAGAGATTCGCATGAAAACCTCCAAATGCCTACTACAGTAGTTTCAACAGCCGAGMAATCCTCAAACGCTACACAAGAGGAAGCAAGTTCCACAAATGAAGCGCATAGTGATATGGCAACGTTGGAAAATCTTGCCGTAATCATTCATACAATGCAAAATATGAAAGGAAGGGAAAKCCATTCTCTGGAGCATTTAAATGATGACATTGGTTTACGAGAACGTTGTAACGAACTTTCTAAACAAACTCCAGAAGACTTGGAGATGGCTGGCAAATTTCTTCGTGACTTACTAATTAAACATCTTGCAAGAAGGTTAAAGCCTGCTGGACCTCAAAATGTTAGCAATGAAATCGATTGCACCGATGTGAGACCATTACAAGTGTCAAGAGATGGGAATGCTAAAAGTRAGCCAATTCGAGATATGACAAAGAAAAGCCTCGAAAGGAACATCTATGATGATCCATGGGAAGATGAAGAGGTGAATGGAACTACAAAAATCTTACAAACCTTATTCAAGCTGCTCATCAATAAGAGTCAGCTGGACCACGACGAAATTGTCATCGTTCCCGATGGTGCTATAAATACTGTACCATTTGCTGCACTACAGGATCCTGATACGGGATACTACCTATCCGAGACCAAGCGTATTCGATTTGCTCCTTCTATTCAATCACTAGTTTTGATGAAACAAAGTCCTGATGACTTTCATTATCAATCAGGCGCATTGATTATTGGTGACCCCRCCGTCGGACGAGTCATGTTGAACGGTCGAGAAAGATTCATTACACCTCTTGAAGGGGCACGACGAGAGGCAAATGAAATCGCCAATGTACTTGGAGTTCRTCCGTTRATTGGTGATGGAGCAACGAAAGAAGCTGTGATCSAGAAGCTGAAGCAAGGCGTGTCTGTTGTCCACATTGCTGCACACGGTATCTTGTCAAAAGCTTCAATCGCTCTGGCACCTAYTGCTGAAGTGAGATCAGCAAAAACTCCTGATGAAGAAGACTACATGCTRACCATGGCAGACGTCCAAAAGGCCCAAGTTCGTGCYAAGTTAGTAGTTTTGGGATGTTGTCACAGTGGGCGTGGAGAGATCAAGGCAGAGGGCGTTGTCGGTATGTGTCGAGCGTTTCTAGCGTCAGGAGCTCGTGCAGTAATAGGATCTCTRTGGGCCTGTGAAGATACAGCCACATTGGTTTTTATGAAGCACTTTTACTGGTTATTGAAACAAGGTAAAAGTGCCTGCTTAAGTCTACAAGAAACAATGCGATACATGCGAGACGACACCATTTTTAGCGAGCCGAAGTTCTGGGCCACTTTTTTCCTGATTGGAGACGATGTGACAGTAGATTTCTAAAAGTCAAATGAG